AAAAAAAAAATAATAATTAAAAATAATTGACTGCTCCAATGATCTAGTCCCCCCCCCCCCCCCCCCCCACCCAAAAAAACAACAAAAAATAAACAAACAAAAACATGTCGTAAACTGTAACACTTTCCTAGCGCACCCCGCTATCCCCACGCGCGTGTCGTACTTAAGCAATTCCCTTGACGCTAGGATATATCTGTTAGAGAATATCATTTATGTATAACGATTATGTGTCTTTAACTCCTCCAATTTTATTTTAACGTTAAACCAGGTTCCATATATATATATATATATATATATATATATATATATATATATATATATATATATATATATATATATATATATATATATATATATATATATATGATCCCATTCACGTCAAACAGAAAATATAAATTTAATTTCCTCTTTCAATGTAGCAAAATATTATAACAATGGCAGCGAGGAGCAATTTTATACAGAATAAATTTTAAAAAATTATTTTAAAGTGTCTTAGCATGTTATTTTATTTTTTAATACTTGATTTTATAATAATAATTCACATTTATTATAACTATTCATTTTTATAATCGTTGATAATATCATTATTATACTACTATTACTAAACTATATTTGTTACCGTCTTTTAAATATGTATGAGAAAATTCTATCTTCTTTTTATTTTTCTCTACTTTATCTATTTAAGAGTATTGACAAATTATGTTGTATTTAGGGGCCGTCCATAATATACGTCTCAATTATTTTAACCCCCCCCCCCCCGGTCACAATGTGTCACAAATCTTGAGAGGACACGTCCACTTTGCTTTTTAAAAAAAGTACGCCATACTCTAAAACAAGGGTCTCAAACTCGCGGCCCGCGGGCCATTTGTGGCTCGCAAGAAGATATTTTGCTGCCCGCGACACGACAGCAAATTTAGTGTTAATGCGGCCCGCATGGTTTCCCCATTCTCATACCTATAGTGTTACCCTCCGCAACGGGCTCAGTCAAACCTCACCGACTCGTCTAATTCTGATTTTTATTATGTTTGTAAAGGTTTGGACGTTGAGTATAATGGTAAAAAACCGTTTTAAAATCGGGCTAAAAGTTTTCAATTTGTAGCATTTTATGTGACAAACATGGCCAAATTGCGGTTTTGAGAAAACACAGAATATTATTTATATATATTTAACAAAAATGTTAAAAGTCAGTTAGTGGGTAATGCACAACCATAATTGTGTCAATCGTAACAATGTGACACGGTATCCAAGAATCCCTACTAAAATTGCCGCTAATGTTAACGAGTGAGGGAAATTCCGAACCTGTCAGCTTGGTCACTTGCTCTGTCAGGTCACAGGCAACAAGCAGTAGGAGGAAGAAAGTTCTTGAGAACCCTTGAAGTTTTTGTAAATACTAAAGGTTTAGCAAATAGTAACATCTTTACTTTATTGAATTTGTAATGGCTTTTTTTTTGTGGAATACTTGATGCCGCCCAGTCTCACTCAGACTCTGCCTCTTGCGCCCCCGGATTATTTGAGTTTGAGACCCCTGTTCTAAAAGATAAAAAATTTATTTTAAATATTACAACTAATTATTATTATTTATTTTTTTTTTCAAAATCTAAAACACACTTCACTCTTAGATCGAGATACTCGCTAAGTGCTAAGTGACACATTCTTTCGGGATGCATCAAGCGCAGCAGAAAAAAAATAAGCATCACTGTCAATTTTAGCGAACATGTGCATAATTTTAAAAAAAAAATAATAATTACAAATAATTGACGTCTCACATGATCTAGTACCCCCCCCCCCCCCCCCCCCCCCCCCCCCCCCCCCCCCCCCCCCCCCCC